TAATACTTCAATTTAATATAAAAGACAGTTTGTTTTCATCTGTTTTCAAATAAACAAAGTCTTGGCTTTCAGAATATTAAACTTGTTTCGGCAAATTCAGATGATAAATACAACTTTGAAGCTTCGGCATAATTACAAGCGGAGAACTGAGTAACTTAACGTCACAGCAGGCATAACAACAGCCGGTGTTTCCTGTGAGTGTTTCCCCGGTACACAAATGCACACTGGCGAGTTTCGCCCAGACCAGTAATACAAACGAAAATGTGTCTTCGGGTCGATGTGACTGATTTCGAGAGAGCAAGTCACATTTGGTTTAGGCACGAAACATACTACCAGTAGAAATACATTGCTTTCAAAATCGCTCTGTGTCGAATCAAGAGATTATATTTTGTGACTATAACACGAAATGCCGTGAGTGCTTCATCCTCTGAACACCACACGATGGCGACTGTAACGCACATAACATAGGTTACGCTCCTCTGAAATGACTGTCCCCTGCAATTATTATTATCCCTCATCGAGTTCGCTATTCAGCTAGCTAACGTTAGCTTAAACAAACGTAACATGCAACGTTAGCCTAATCTAAAATGCTTTACTACAGCGTACCTTTCATGTGGCTCGTCAGCGCAGACTCTCGCATCGTTATTTTTGCAAACTTTGCAGGAGGCTACTCGTGGGCTTGACCCTCGTCTTAGCCATGGCTTGTATTTGTCTTCTGCTAGCCAACGCTCGTTGAAACAGCAACCTCCTGGCACACAGTCATCTATCACTCTCATCAGAATGCCCAGGTCACACGTAACACAAACACTTGCAGGTCGCGCGCATAGCGCGGGAAGGCCGGAGCGGAGATGTTTTATGTAAAAGCGAAGCAATTACGCGCGCTCTGACTTCTTTATTTTTCTTTTAATCTAAAAAGCGAAGTAAAGCATTTACAATTTCAAGCACTTTATCCCAAATTCAAGCACCATTCCCAAAATGCACTTTTCAAACCTGGAAAACACCTCGTACAATTTCAAGCATTTTCAAGGATTTCCAGCACCCGTACGACCCCTGCAAGATGCTCCCACAGAGCTGCAACAACTTATCTCTGCAGATCCTCCCTCTCAAGCCGTCGGTATACTATCGGAATAAATCCTCGCTAACAAACATCAATAGATCTCTATAAACGACTGCCAATCCTACACTGTCCTAGTCACTCATGGTGTCCCCCAGGGTCCAGTCCTCGGTCCCCTTCTTTTTGTACTGTAAATCCTTCCCCTCTGACAAATCCTGCTTCCCTGCTATACCGATAACATTCAACTTTAACCTCCAAAGTCTTCTTACTGATATTAAATCTTGGATGCAACAGAACTTCCTTCAACTCCACTGCAACCCATCAGAAACACTCAATCAGCCCAACTCTGACATATAGTAACAATGAATACATGCTTAGTCATGAGATAACTGACCATATCAGAGTACATTAGACCCATGATCAGACCAATGATCACCCACTGTGTGGTCACATGACACTTTGTGACTGCACACCTTCCTGAATGCTGAGATCTACTGTCTGTTGACATGTAAGGCTTAGAGAATATTATTATTTATATGTTAAATATAACATTATAGCATTCAATTCTCTGATAATCATCATTTCCATTACAGAAGACTAATGAGTATTTCTCTGCACTCAGCTCCCTGCTAAGTTACTCTGGACTAAACTCAACCGATGTGCTGGTCAGTTACCGTGAACAAGTCTTCGATGTTCCAAGTGCTATCGAGAAGCTGGGTGGTGCACTCGCTGGGCTCGCAACCGTGCCCAACGCTGTGGGACTCGGTGCTCTCATCATTTCCATGATCTTAGAGACAATCGGGAAAAGCTTGGGTAAAAAAACCATGGGCACGGCTGAAATGTTGCAGAGGGTGTTTTCAGACGAGAAGGCCAAAGAGGTGAGACCCTGATGGTTCCTCAGTTTATTAACAGGTGCTTAAGGTTAGACTTCCTTCCTTTGTTTCCATTAAGCCTCTAAGACACCTTTAAAACAAACATTTTAACGCCTAATCCTAAATTATTCATTTCATTTTACTCACAGCTGTGACGACTTGTTTGTGTTGTGTTGATGTTGTGCGACTAGTGGTTATTCAGAACATAACTATTTTATTCATATTATTTTCACACATTCAACAAAGAAAATAGGTTTTCATATAGTCGATCAAATCAAACCAAAAGAGGCTAAACTCAAATCAAATGATAAACACATTTATATTGTTTTCTGTGCATATCTGTGTCTCCTCAAGGCTTGGGAATTGTAGTCTTTCATAGTCTCTTGACTACAGAGGTCGCCAGGTGACAATATTGTTTTCTTTTCTACAAAACCAAAAATCTGTCTCTAACATTAAGTCATATTTATAAAATGTATGATTTTATTTCAGAACAAAATCACCTTCAAAATCGATATATAAAACGTTTATCTGACCAATATTTGAAATAGGCTTTCATAAATGTTGACATTCTTTTACTGTGAAGGTCCGAGACCTGATGGACGAGTATTTGAAGCGTCTGCAGATCAACTTGGGGAAGCCACAGCTCCAACTAGCTGAGACCCGGCAAATAGCGCTCGATCTCAGTGTGCAGCTAACGCGGCTAAAGGTACAACCTTTTAAAGTCTTCCAGCTGTATTTGAAGGATCATGCTACATTGATATCTCCTGTTATGTCCTTCTCAATCACTAATTCACTCATTTGAATACATTGTTTCTCAGGAGGTCCTTTGAGGAATTCAATTTAACTTAAAACGTTAATTCAACCGTTAACTCAAATGTAAATTGTAAAGTGGGATAGGCTAGATAAGCATAATGTACACTGCCTTCTATTCTGTATATTTATATTGTGTATTCAATGTATATACTCTATAGATATATATATCCTCATTATTGATATGTTTATATTCACTGTTTTGCATATATAGTTCATCTTGGCGACGAGACAGTTTCCCAATTTGGGATCATTAGAGTATATCTTATCTTAATCAGTAAGTAATCCTATTGTCGTGGCATTTTAATCTGTTAATACATTTAATAACCACTTTCGTCTATCTGTCTAACTTCTTCTAGTGTGACTCACAACAATTATATTAATAAGACAAACATTCAAACCATAATGATGAAAGGAAAATGGCTCTAACACCTATTGTGCTCCTTTTTCTTTCCCAGAACTCCATGCTGGTCGATGGACATATGAACTCTATGCTTCTGAAGCAGTGGGTGAACGGCGCTGCGTTTCACACCCAGATGTTGATCCATCAGGCTCGTCTGGAGGAGGCCGACGGGTCGAGAGCGGACGAGCAGCGGGCGTTTATCAGCAACAGCTCAACGTTATTATAGACAGATACAAGAAGTACCTGATTGGTATTACAAGTATAGATCCATTATGGATCCCATATGGACAACCAATGTGTAATCTGTATTTCTACGAGGGGCCGTTGTCTGGTTATTGTGCTCGGTACTATATTGACCTCTGTGTCACCGGAACTGAACTGGTTGAGCATTTGTTTTTGAAACACCAGATTTCTTGGACAAAGAGTTATTTCTCAGACTTGGCAGCAAATACTCCAACTCTTGTGAGACAACATGCCGCCTTTCAAATCGGAAACCTACGGTGGCCGGCAGGTGCAAACGCTAAACAACGGCCAAAAACACACACATAAGCAGAAAACACCTGCAAATAATGAAAGGAAAAACCAACAAACCCTGAAAACAAACGCAACAGAAAAACGCTGCAAATACAAAAACGATATGCAAAATCAAAAGCACATTCAACCGAAAAACACATTACAAAAAAAAAAGACATTACAAAAAAACATTCCGGAAGTGCTTCAGGCCTCTAGGGGGCGCGCTACGTGGAACAGATTGATGTCTGACCAGACATAGAGAGAACGAACAAGAGGAAAGAAAGTTCATTTAAGTGGAGAAAGATATAAGAAGGTAAGTTGTGTTTTTATACATAGAGCGTCATATTTACGTAGCTAGCGTTAGCGTGTTTGATAAAAGAGCTTGCAAGAGCCATTGTGCACCTAAATGTAACTCTTGATATAATATAGATATAGTATAGAACTGGGGACGCCCCTCCCTACACGCAGATCACACAGACTGGGTGGGGTCTCACGCCCTCACCTCGTGGAGGGGGCCTCAACTGAGCCGCAAATGCGATGCGGTGATAAAAAGGAAATAAAATAAAATGTAAAAAGTTGAATTAAAATATTAAAACAGCAACACAACATTATTCCCACATTAAAAGACAGTCTGAAGAGGTGTGTTTTGAAGGTGGGGGGGTCGGTGCAGTCTCTGAAGTTTAATGGGAGTGAGTTCCAGAGGGAGGGGGCAGCGATGGAGAAAGCTCTGTCCCCCCAGGTTCGGTGCTTGGTTTGTGTGGGGATATACCTATACAGTCTATGGGATAGACAGGAGGTTGGCTTCTGATGAGTTAATTGAAAGACCGTTCTTTAATACTATTATAATATTTAGGTAGCCGAAAATTATCCACTCTTTTTGACTTAACCTAGCTGTCCTACATTTTATTTCTCCACAGATGTACTGTCCATTCTGTGGTTCCAGCGTGACATTTTCGCATGGCTTTTGTGGTGTCTGTGGCAGAGACATCACATTTCTAAAAGATGTGGCTAACAAAGTCTCTGAGGAGATGCCCACCACTAGTGCACATCTAAGTGCACAGTCTAGCACCAGTGCAGGTAAATAGGTTGTTCGTTTTATTACCAAACAATAAGTATTTATAGAAAACTTGGTTTAAAAGTTCGAATTCTGATATTATACAAATACATCTCTAAACTATGTGGCTTACCTACTGTTGAATGTGTTATAACATAAGATGTTCCTCAGAAGGGATTGAGGATGAGACTCCTATTGAACATAATGAGGAGTAATGAATGTTGTATTCCTGTTTTTTTGTAGCAGGAAGCTCAGCTGTAGAGTCCTTTCAGAAATATAGGGAAATAAAAAAGAGGGAGAGAAAGACCTTTTTTACAAAGGGACGGCATAACTCCAAAAATGAAAAGAAACAGAAATTGGTGAAGGTATGCAATGTTTTCTATTATGAATACATCTGTAATTCAAATCTGCTCACCACACTCTCATATAATGTCCGAAAAAACGTTTTATTCATTTGCATGTTATTGTCTTTTTGCAGATTTCTGTTGGAGTAATGAGGAGGATGGATGGCTGCCTTAAACCTGTGAGAGGGAGGTCACTTCCCCTTGATGTTGAACCTCAATGGGCATGTGAAGAACTGTTGGCTGCTGCCATAAAAAAGCAGAAAGCCTTTAACCAGGACTTCGAAGATGGTGCCCATGTCTTGTTGTACCCTGATGCGAGGGTGATAACAAATATCCCCGGAACGGACACCCCTTTCACAGTACAGATGTACAAAGAGGCCATTGGAAAGCCCTACCAACGAATTACGTTGTACATCTGTACTCTTGAAGCCGTTGAAAACAGTTGTAAGTGCTTCTGACATATATTCCCCCTTGTTTAAAGCACTAAACTGTATAATAGTTCAAATGTAAACATAACAGTTGTTCTGTCTATATTTCTTAACACAATTCATTCCACCCATCATTCCTTTCTCTTCGTGGTTGAACTTATGACGTCAAATGGTCTTTTATGAATAGTGGCAGAAGAAATGGAATTTAAGTATCAACAAAAGCTTCCAAACTTTCCTTCTGTTCAAACTAAATATAAATCCCCTCTTAAGGATTGTAATTCTAAATTAACCTTTTTTCTCACAACAATGTTGGTTTGTTGTGCACTAAATCCTAATGTGAGAGTGAAAAGGACGGTCAACAATATAATGTACATTTCACAAACATTTTGTGTTTCGATTTAATCCTTTCTGATTGATGTCAATCCAATAATTCAGGATTCAAACCAACATTTGATGATAGGTACAGACGTAGGGGAACAATTATTTTTATAGTATTAATCATGACACTTTTATTTTCTTAGGTTACACTGGAACAACCTCTTCAAGTGACGAGGACAGTGTGGTTGTTGCAAAGTTGCCATCTGGAGACAGTCTTGCTGACACCGTGGTCAGTTTGGATCTATCGTGGCATTTATTCTTAATTAAAGTGAATTTATTTTTATTTCAGTCTGTCATTTGTGTGTTGTATGCAGGTGTGGGACTTTCCAAATGAACAGAGCACTCCCAGAATGGACAACAGTTTGCCAGGGTAAAATAAAACATTGTCAACATGTTATTTTTTGCCACAAGAAGTAGAATGTTTTAACAGTACAGTAGTTTGAATATATTTTTTGTTTACCTTTATCAGACCTCTCAGGCACCCACAACCAGCGTCTGATCGGGTAAGACTAATTAAAAATGTAATTATACCATATTGTAGGTTTGAATTTGTGAACATGAAATCAATAAATACCTTTGTGTGCTAATGACACTGTCATTAGATCAACTGCATCATTATTATTTATTGGGTAAAAATAGGATGGAGCACCAACCCCATTCCAGGAAGAGGTCCAGTCTGCCCCGGGTCAGAACACCTTCTATAGGTAAACGATGTTGACAGTTGCATCGTGACACAGTTGTTTGGTGTGTATTTTTATTTGTACATTTGGTTGTTTGCATAGCCTCCAATCCCAGTGGGTAACATTGCCAGGAAGCAGAACCATTATACTTTCATACATTTCCAAAGGACACCGACAACATCTTACGTCTTAGTGAAGACGATACAAAAAACACCCACCAATATTTTTCAAAGATCAGATATTGTTTGTTGCATCCATTTCAAATGTTTACAAAGACTGTGCAGGAGTATGACAAAAGTACTGTTGTCAGTTTAGAACCCAATGTATTAAAAAAAAAAACAGGAAGAGGATTGACTTCCTTTTGTAAATATGACTGTCATATATTATGTATTTGAAATGAATTATTCAACTGTCTTCTCACTGCAGCAACTACACAAATGTGTATGCACCGATCATTATCGACAGCCAGTCTGAGCCAGAAGAGGAAACGGAGCAAACTGCAGAGGAAAGGTATTAATTGTTACTTTTACCACTTCATTTTTTTATTCTATACTGTAAATCTTATTACTAGCTTCATCATTTAATATTACAATACATCACTTTGTCTTTCCCAGCACAGAATACCTGACTGCGCCAGACGTTGTTGCAGAACTCTCTGCAAAAATAAAAAATACCTCTTGCAGCAGGTTTAATATTAACCGATCCAATGTGTGGGATGGAGCAATCCGCGGCTTCAAACGGGCCTCATTCGACCCCTCTCATCAGATGCAGGTTAAGTTTACTGATGATGAGGGACAAACTGAGGATGGAGTGGACACTGGTGGTCCCAAGCGGGAGTTCCTGACCCTCCTTATGGAATGCCTGAGAATGAGAAGAATATTTGATGGTCCACAGGACAGGAAATTCCTCACGTTCGACAATGCAGGTAATGATGTTCGCAAATCTGTCTTATGTTCAATACTGTACTGTAAATATAGGAGCTGCTTATGGATTTTGCAGCTAGATTTACGTGACAATTAAATTATCTTATACTGTATATCTTTATGATAACGTGGCAACTGTTGGTTAACGTGATAATAATTTGACAACAAATATCAACAGCTGCAAAAGATGACGAATACTTTCATGCTGGGAGGATGATTGCAACTTCTATAGTTCATGGTGGTCCAGGCCCCCGCTTCCTGTCAGAGACGCTCTACCAGCACCTCACTGGAATGAAAAACACCAACATTGAAGCCATCATTGAAGACATTACTGATGACACTATGAGAGCTTCTCTGCTTGAGGTAGGCTGGCATATTAGGGCAAACATTTGTTGTTTTACTATCACAGCCCAATATACAACATGAAGTTGTCTCCCTTATAACCTGTGAAGAATTTGTTTTTTTTATTGTCCGGCCTTCGATAGTTTGTTATTGGGCTTTTATAGCCTCTTTTGGAACCATAACGAACAACCTTAGCTAGCTGTTATGGCAAACCATTAGAAATGATGCAGTATTTATTTATCATACCTAACTGTCATTACAAATATCATTAATGAAAACAAATGTACATTAGTAAGAACAAGTTTGTCATCTTAGAACAATATTAAAAATGTATTCCTCCTTTCATGACATGGATATAGTTATATATGCTTTAATATCTTGCCACTTTGATTAATGCAACTCCTTACATTAGGTATCATTCATAATTCTTGCTCCCCTCTGCAGCTGGTCAAAAATGATTGGGGTAATTAAGTGTAAAACACAATGTTTAATAAGAAGAAGAAGAATAACTTGGATTTATTTACCTTTCAAGAAACCAAAGGACACTTACATTTATGATACTATTGAATGATAGTAGTAAATCAGTCAGATTTAAACCGAACACCATAGGAGGGAAAGAAGATGTTACAATTATTGAGAATATATATTTTTAATTTGATAAATTACCTGTCTTCCTTCATATGCGATTTTGACAGCATATTGATTTATGTTTATGGATTATGATTGTTTTCTACCCTAGATATCCAGCGCAGCTACACTGGAGGAACTACATGCATCAATCCACAGAAATTCCAGCTTGTTGCAGACTGCAGGTTGCTTGCAGTACCCTGATGGTGTGGATGGCAAAAACGCAATCATAAAGGATTTCATGCAGTGGTACATCATTTACCGCAACCATTTTGCCATACAAAGGTAATGTTTCTGCACCGTTTAACCTAAGTTCAATATATTTGAATTGTTATCGAGTCAAACACATCACCATTTAGATGTTCAAGCAAGGTTATAATTTATATTAGCACCATTCAGACACAAAGCAATTCCAAGTGCTTTACACTTTCAGAAAATACAAAAATTGCATTTAAAACAAGCAGTTTAACGTGTATTGAAGCTCGGAACAAACATTTAAAGATAAGAAAGCCTAAATCATGCGTTCTATGACCAATTGTGATACCAAGGCGATTGAGGGTTTACAAGGGTAGAGTTGTATCTATCGATTCACTGGACAATCCTGCATTTGGAGATCATTTTTCTTATCAGTTTAGTTACTTTCACAGAAGTTATTCTGACTTTATTTAATATATGTTATTGGTCTTGGTCAAAAAGTAAAATATGAAACAGAAATATGTAAAGATTATTGATTGATTTACTTTACTGCATGTAAAACCCAGAGGTCATTAAGAAATGAAGTAGATTGATGGGTCTTTGTGTCTAATGTTTCCTAGATTCAAAGACGGACTTGAAGCCTTGGATGTGATTCATGCTTTGGAGCAGCATGCAAGTGTTTTCAGAGCTTTTATGTGCTCAAGTGTGGTAGAGCTGACTTCTGCCACATTGGAGGAAGTCTTTGAGGTTCAGCACAACAGCGAAAAAGGAAGCTCAAGACGCCATGAGGAAACCAGCGTGCTGGGATTTTGGAGAGACTATCTCCTTGAAAAAGAAGGTTTATTTGAGTTCCAACATTGTTCACATCTTAAAATAATTAGCTATTAATGGCAGTTCTATCAATCTTGATATTTAAAAAAAACAAAAAACCGTAATACTACTTTTTCTTCTCAGAAAAACGAACAGGACTCCTCCTCAGTGACATCCTGATGTTCTCAACAGGATTAAACACCCTGCCACCATCTGGAATCCAGCCGAGACCCCAATTGGTTTTTCACCGGACATCTCGCTTTCCAATCGGCAGAACCTGCTCAAACACAATCGAAATACCAATGTCAAGCACCTACGAACAGTTTGAAAGTAACATGGACTTTGGAATCCAAAATTCGCCTGGTTTTGGACTTTATTGAAAGCTGGGCTTACAATTTACAAATTAGCCATGTTCTTCATATTTATATAGTTCGCAACACAAGACTCCCAGGTCAAGGGTTGCATTAGACCACTCGTTCTTTGAAGGTTCTCAAAGTGTTCCTGGAAGTGGTCGTCTCCACATGGACTGTTGGTCGAGTCCAGAACAACTGGGAACCCACAGTCAGTTCCACCGTACCTGGATGTGCAATATGTTCAACAGTTATTATTCACATGTACAAAATTGTTCTTGAAATGTTGTTTTGTTGTTGAACTTCTTTGAAAATTAAAAAAGTTACTGTCACTTAATAGTAGACATTATTTGAGTAATAACTGACTGACTGAGGTGAACAGATTATGACACAATCTTAATTTATAGTGAACATTTTACTTTGGGGCAACTGATTTTTTCTTAGAGTTTTAGGCAGTTACTAAAAATAAATCTGAACAAAATTGAGAAATATGTTTAATTGATAGAAACAAACCTGTGTGGCAGGTTGTACATGACATCTGGTTTCCCGGATGGACAACGAGACTGGTTTACAGGTCTGATAATATGCGTGTTCCACTTTTCCCTGCATTCGTCAAGGTCCCTCTGTAGCACACCCATGAAGACAAACCGCACTAGGCATGTGTGCGCATGACTGCCACTGAAGTGATGTTTTTCTCTCAGGTCATTCATGAGATCCATCCAAAATTGAGACCTGAAGAAACAGATTCAAATGAGAGCTGTTTTTTTTATACATTGATGATTTCCATGTAAAGGGATTCAAAATAAATATAAAAAATAACAGTAAACCTGTGGTATCAAATAGTCATATTTCTAAGAACTGTATTAAGGAACAGAGATAAAGGGGTAATCTGTGTTTTAACTGATGATTCCGATCAATTAAATTAAAAGGAAATCAGCAACCACACTAGGCATACCATGTGTTGGCTGTGCCTGTGGTGCAGAGTTTAGTTGTAAAACAATTATTGTAGGAGATCGGAACTATTACACTGAAAATATAATTACATTACTTTTTATAGATATACTATGTTCACTGTCAAGGAAGTAAAAAAAAAAGAAAGAAGCACCACACCTCTGTTTTCTGAAGTACGACCACCAGCTTTCAATTCTTTGATTTGCTGTTGAAGAGCCATACATGTGACTGGCAGCCCCAGCAAAATGGTCAGTGTGTCTTGATCTTAAAGCACACTGGATGGCTGCCATTGTGCCGTTTTCAGTGCCGCAGTCTGTACGCAGCCTCATAGGTATGACTCCATGCTCTGTGACACCATCCATCCATCCATCTTCTTCCGCTTATCTGTGGTCTCGCTCTGTGACACAACGTATGTAATTTTGAGCAATGACCCCAGGGTCATTGTTCGTTGCTCCACACTTCAACCACAATATTTTTCTGGAGTAGCCATCAATACATCCGCTGATGGCTAAACCATAGGGCTTTCGCTTATCATAGCCATCAACATGCCAGACGTGGTTGGGTCCTTCAGAGCTGTATGTTCTTCGTACAAATCGTCTATTACTGCGAAGTTGAACTCCAGAGGCGTCAAGCTCTCTCATCAAGTTCATGACCTCATCCCTTTTTACAGTAAGGGAGTGCTTTTGCCGCAATGTCTGACACATCGAGCGGTAACCGTAATGCTGGCCAGGTCCATTTAATTCCTCTTGAATGGCAGCACGAACATTAGCCAGAGGGGAGTAGTTTTTTTTCCTTGATAATGAAAGACTTTTTAATTTACTCTTTAAAGTACGCAGACTTATTTTTACATTGTGGGTAGTTTCCAGAAAATCCAAAATTTCATCGTAGCTGAAGCCATTATGAAAGTATTTACGAATGAGGTCCTCTTCTGTGGGGCTGTCAGATGCTGATTGTAAAAAAAAAAAATCACAAGGAGAAAAAGAAGAAAACATCATGTCATGGCTCACTGTCTCAAAATCTGATTCTAAATGTATAATGTTCTCCGATAGAACTAATACACAATTATGAATGTATAATATAAGCTGTTTTGTGTATTTAATCATGCATTGGTCTACAATTTAATGATGGCTTCTACATATTTCACATAAACAGACAATGAAAAAATGTGTCCTTCATGCTGATAACTAGTGTATGCATCTGCAATTAGTATTCTAAACAGAGTAGTGTGTTGAATCCTTATTTCTTGCATTTGAAACAGATCAATAAAAAAGTGAACTTACTGTTGTGTTCAACTTCTGCCAAAAACTGTACATTGTTGCCACAGGAGCCACAGAACACTTGAACTGTCCCCAGATGCTGGCCACAGAAAGGACAAAACATGGCGGCCTGAAAAGACATACATTGATGTAGTAAATCCATGTAATCAAGTCAATCAAAAACACATAGTCTAAATAGTGGTTAGCTAAATAAATAGAAAGATACATCATGTTCACCGTTGAATCTGTGTTTTGTCTCTCTCCTTGAATGTCTTCTCTATATTTGTTCTTGAGCATGTCTCATGCACACTACTCTCCTGTCATTACTTTGTCCCTCTTCACATTTTGTCACTTTCTCTCTCTCTCTCTTTATCTCTCAATTTAATTCAATAGCTTTATTAGCATGACCATAGTTACAGGCAATTGCTAAAGCTCTGTTTAGTTGCAACATCTATACACAAATGCATACATATAAACAAACTGCTAAGAATTCAAATGTCCTTTTTCCGCGGCACTCACTATGGCCCGTGTTATTTGCCTGCACTTGATTTGTCATCTCTTTTAACAATGTTCTTCTCTCACTTTATCTTCTCTTCACGTGAAGCTCTCCTCAGCTGGTGTAATAGTTACTAGTTAGGCACGCTAACGCTAGCTACGTAAATATGACGCTCTATGTATAAAAACACAACTTACCTTCTTATATCTTTCTCCACTTAAATGAACTTTCTTTCCTCTTGTTCGTTCTCTCTATGTCTGGTCAGACATCAATCTGTTCCACGTAGCGCGCCCCCTAGAGGCCTGAAGCACTTCCGGAATGTTTTTTTGTAATGTCTTTTTTTTTTGTAATGTGTTTTTCGGTTGAATGTGCTTTTGATTTTGCATATCGTTTTTGTATTTGCAGCGTTTTTCTGTTGCGTTTGTTTTCGGGGTTTGTGTGTTGTAGGTTTAGCTTGCATCATTTCTGTAAATGCAGCGTTTTTCTGTTGTATGTGTTTTCAGGGTTTGTTGGTTTTTCATTTCATTATTTGCAGGTGTTTCCTGCTTATGTGTGTGTTTTTGGCCGTTGTTTAGCGTTTGCACCTGCCGGCCACCGTAGAAACCGACATTGAAGCTCTTTGTTTGTGAAGCCATGAGACCAACATCAAACCAAACTTTAATCTTAAACTCAAAAAGGCAAATATTTTAAACTGGACACGCAACGGATGTCCAGACTAAGAGAGAACAACTATTGCTATGACATTTGGTTTAGCCATCCATGGTGACCATAGGACAGACCCGGCGGGGGTCCCGAAATGTACATATCCCGGGAAATCTGAATTGTCAAGGGGGGGGGGGTTGTTAGACGCTCGAGATTTGTCAATGGGGGGGGGGGGGGAGGCGCTCGCGAATTGTTGTTACGGAAAGAGAAGGGTTTTAGGCTGTTGACGGTCTTATTATAGGCTACATACATTGGTTGGTTTTGTGGCACATTTGTAACGCTGTGCCAACTTGGGCAGCATGCAGGCAAACTTGAGGATCGCACACAGGGTGGAGAGGTTGAGCGATGGAGAGAAAGGGCGGGAGAGAGAGATTGAGTGAGGCAGAGAGCGTGTGCAGCGGTCTGCTTGCGCACAGAGCAGTTTGTGAGAGAGCCGGCTTGAGAGTCAATTTCTCTTCAAAATATAATTGATTGCCAGCCTCCCTTGTCCCTGGCTGGCTTGCTAGCTCGTTGGTAACGTAACTGATGTCTTCTAATGTGCCTGCATCTGGCGCTGAGTTGCATATTCCTTTCATGACCACTTCCTGATATCCATTGTTGCAGATAAATATAAATGATAATAGCCAAACTAACCTAGCAAGAGTAAACTGACAGGCTGCCGCATCTCACTCAAAAACCCACACGACTCAACCCAGCGAAAAACCAGTCTCGCGCGCAGCCTTTCATTCAGAATTTCATAGCAAAATTAAAAAATGATATTAAACCAATCTTTCAACATAGTTTAAAACAAAAATAAATATTAGGACAAAGCCCTACAAATAACAACAATACACATAATAATAAAACAATTAAAATGTTGTATTCAGCCCTTAAAACAGCGGGCCCAAATCCTGGATGGGCGGGCCCGGCCCCATGGGGCACGCCCATGACGCCGGGTCTGCCATAGGATGAATCCTGATGAGCCTTAATGTTTCTCCTATTAAGCGACATTATCAAGTCCACATTTATAATTTGCCCAATCATTTGGTTTATGTTAAAACAACTGCAAAACTAAACATTCCCATAATCCTCAGCTGTGCTTTGTGTTTCTGTAAATGAAACTAATCTGAATTTAGAAAAACGGTACACAGTGACCGTTAAACCTGTTAGCATATGTGAGCATAGTCATTGTTAGAATGTTAGCATGTTGAATTTAGCATTTAGCCGAGGGCACAATACTCAGGCCCTGCAATAAAAACACTTACCCCTAGTTTCCACTGGGTCCGTCTGCGTCGCGTTACGGCTGCGCCGCGGTTTTGGTCCGACCTCCTCTAGCGTCATAACCAGTGTTGTGCTAGTTACTGAAAACCAGTAACGAGTTAGCATTACTAGTTACTTCATTTCAAAAGTAACGCAGGCACTTTACTAGTTACTTGCGAAAAAAGACTGCGTTACTGTGGAAAGTAACGTTTTTGTTACTTAGAAAAATGGGTCCCATTAATGCCCTTATAGCCTTCCTTTCAGTACTGTTATTGCATTGGAGAATAATACAATCTGTTGATCAACTTGACATGCATTATATGCAATCTGGATTGCATCGATATTAGCTGGCTTTCCATTTTTGTATATTCTTTCTCCAGGTAGTTAGAACAAGTGTTCCGTCCCATATGCCGTGTGCCGCCCGGACATGCTATCATGCTAACTAGCTCCCTGAAAGCGGGTGACTCCACTGTAGCAATAGCCTGCATGTGTTCTACAACATACCGTGCAATGGCTTTATCGACTTTTCCCTGGCTAGCAGTCCCTCGGTTAAAATCCAGCCGCTGTTGCTTAGGTGGAGGTGGAGTGGCGTCGGCTGAGTCTCTGTGGTCTTAGCTACTAGCTTCGTCCCAGCATGTTGTTTTTGCAGATGTTTTAAGAGATTTGAATGACTGGTTTGGACAGTAGATAGGATCTTTGACCCGCCAAGACACAACTTACATTTAACAGAAACTTTCTTTTCTTTGTGCTCGACAAAAGTGAAATAGTGAGAATATCTCCAGGTGGAGAAACTAGACTTGAGCTCCGCCGCCGCCATGATAGTCTTGTTAGTAAACAACACAAACACGCCCACAGCCCGTCTCCGCATGTGACACAGGAAGTATCTAAGTACATTTACTCAAGTACTTAAGTACAGTTCTCATCTCTGTTCGCCTGGCTGTTGACTATATAAAAAAACTAACGGAGTAACGCACCATGTAGTAACGGTAACTGCGTTACTGAATACAAAAGTAATGCGTTAGAGTACTAGTTACGCGGACACCTCTAAACGCACCAGCTTGCACGCAAAGCATGTGAGAAGCCGCGGGAAAGAAGAGGATAAAAGAAGACTGAAGAATATCGGAGTAGTTTTTACATTACATTTAGCTGACGCTTTTATCCAAAGCGACTTACAATAAGTGCGTTCCACCAACAAAATACAAACTTGATGGTGTGAAAGTTCCTCTTTGAATCCAGTCCGAACTTGAGCTCTCCTGCTTTAGCAAGCCACGGAAGACGAACATATACTTACTCGTATTGGGTCAAAAACCTCGGATATAATATGTATCTGGGAAAAACGCATTTAATTTTTTATTGATGTGTGGTGTTATAACTTGTGAAACTTTAATAAAACTACCTGTGCACATTTGTGAGAGGAAACGAAAGTCCATGTAGCCCTTCTGATTATTGTGACCATTCTGATGGCAATGTAACCTGTTCCCACGCAGTCCAGTTTGATTCCAGTGTCCTGTTCCTTGGCTGAGGATCAATCCCTGACGGAATCTGGCAGAGACACCAGAGAGAACAATAGGTACCTAAGATAACTCTGTGGCTGATTCTAAGTCATATTAGACAGCTGTAAAGTCCGACTGTTTTATAAACGTGAGCTCGGTCAGACTGTAAAACTGTACATGTTTACATTATTGATCATAAGTCCAAAATAGACACACAAAAAAACACATACATTGAAGACAAGTGTTGATCTTGTTTAATTATAGAAATTCTTTGTTATTCAGAGTAAACATCAGCATTTAAACAATTCAACAACATGTGATTCCTCAGACCGCCAGCGGGGGGCAGCAGAGTCCTGACAGGAAGAAGGCACTACATCTGTTTACAGGAGACTGACATTTGTTTGTTTTAAATGTGTTGAGAGTGTAAACAAACACACCACATTGTGTGTCGAAACAGAACAGAATATTCATCAATTACCAAATTGAACTTCATCAGAACTTCAAGTGTTGCCATCCTGAGGAAATACAAACATGGGAAGGAGGATCCAATTATAAACAAATAACATTATTTTAACTTTTACAACTAAGATATTTAGTTTTAGAACTCAAAAGAGAACAAAACAACCACAAATGCTGGAATCATGAGAATATCCGTTAAATATTTATTATAAATTCATTCCTACATTTGAGAAACTCTCATCCTTACAAAATATTTGTTTCCACTGCTAAATTAAATAAGCAACAATTCAAAACAAAACAGATTAACAGCGTTTCAGGAATAAAACACTTCATTTGGTCCCATTTAAAAAACTACAGCCAGCAGCACAGTGATGACCTCACAGCCATCGAGTGTTCTGTTGCCATGACGACACGGTGATCTCAACCCAGCCCCACGTCCAGTGACATCATCACCACGAAGCCCACGATGGAGGTCCAGGACGCAAGTTTCCCGTTTCCACTGGAGACAACAAGGAGAGATTTAGTGAGAGGAAGGAGCAATGTGTAGTACACGATCTGAGTACTTCTACTTTTACTCAAGTACACGATCTGAGTACTTCTACTTTTACTCAAGTACACGATCTGAGTACTTCTACTTTTACTCAAGAACACGATCTGAGTACTTCTACTTTTACTCAAGTACACGATCTGAGTACTTCTACTTTTACTCAAGTACACGATCTGAGTACTTCTACTTTTACTCAAGTACACGATCTGAGTACTTCTACTTTTACTCAAGTACACGATCTGAGTACTTCTACTTTTACTCAAGTACACGATCTGAGTACTTCTACTTTTACTCAAGTACACGATCTGAGTACTTCTACTTTTACTCAAGAACACGATCTGAGTACTTCTACTTTTACTCAAGTACACGATCTGAGTACTTCTACTTTTACTCAAGAACACGATCTGAGTACTTCTACTTTTACTCAAGTACTAGATCTGAGTACTTCTACTTTTACTCAAGTACACGATCTGAGTACTTCTACTTTTACTCAAGTACACGATCTGAGTACTTCTACTTTTACTCAAGAACACGATCTGAGTACTTCTACTTTTACTCAAGTACTAGATCTGAGTACTTCTACTTTTACTCAAGTACACGATCTGAGTACTTCTACTTTTACTCAAGTACTAGATCTGAGTACTTCTACTTTTACTCAAGTACACGATCTGAGTACTTCTACTTTTACTCAAGTACACGATCTGAGTACTTCTACTTTTACTCAAGTACACGATCTGAGTACTTCTACTTTTACTCAAGTACTAGATCTGAGTACTTCTACTTTTACTCAAGTACACGATCTGAGTACTTCTACTTTTACTCAAGTACACGATCTGAGTACTTCTACTTTTACTCAAGTACACGATCTGAGTACTTCTACTTTTACTCAAGTACACGATCTGAGTACTTCTACTTTTACTCAAGTACACGATCTGAGTACTTCTACTTTTACCAAGATCTGAGTACTTCTACTTTTACTCAAGTACACGATCTGAGTACTTCTACTTTTACTCAAGTACTAGATCTGAGTACTTCTACTTTTACTAAGATCTGAGTAATTCTACTTTTACACAAGTACACGATCTGAGTACTTCTACTTTTACTCAAGTACACGATCTGAGTACTTCTACTTTTACTCAAGTACAAGATCTGAGTACTTCTACTTTTACTCAAGTACTAGATCTGAGTAATTCTACTTTTACTCAAGTACAAGATCTGAGTACTTCTACTTTTACTAAGATCTGAGTACTTCTACTTTTACTCAGATCTGAGTACTTCTACTTTTACTCAAGTACACGATCTGAGTACTTTTACTTTTACTAAGATCTGAGTACTTCTACTTTTACTCAAGTACTAGATCTGAGTACTTCTACTTTTACTCAAGTACTAGATCTGAGTACTTCTACTTTTACTCAAGTACTAGATCTGAGTACTTCTACTTTACTAAGATCTGAGTACTTCAACTTTTACTCAAGTACAAGATCTGAGTACTTCTACTTTTACTAAGATCTGAGTACTTCTACTTTTACTAAGATCTGAGTACTTCTACTTTTACTCAAGTACAAGATCTGAGTACTTCTACTTTTACTAAGATCTGAGTACTTCTACTTTTACTAAGATCTGAGTACTTCTACTTTTATACAAGTACAAGATCTGAGTACTTCTACTAAGATCTGAGTACTTCTACTTTTATACAAGTACAAGATCTGAGTACTTCTACTAAGATCTGAGTACTTCTACTTTTACTAAGATCTGAGTACTTCTACTTTTACACAAATACAAGATCTGAGTACTTCTACTTTTACTCAAGTACTAGATCTGAGTACTAATACTTTTACTAAGATCTGAGTACTTCTACTTTTACTCAAGTACACGATCTGAGTACTTCTACTTTTACTAAGATCTGAGTACTTCTACTTTTATACAAGTACACGATCTGAGTACTTCTACTTTTACTCAAGTACACGATCTGAGTACTTCTACTTTTACTAAGATCTGAGTACTTCTACTTTTACTCAAGTACTAGATCTGAGTACTTCTACTTTTACTCAAGAACAAGATCTGAGTACTTCTACTTTTACTAAGATCTGAGTACTTCTACTTTTACTCAAGTACTAGATCTGAGTACTTCTACTTTTACTAAGATCTGAGTACTTCTACATTTACTCAAGTACTAGATCTGAGTACTTCTACTAAGATCTGAGTACTTCTACTTTTATACAAGTACAAGATCTGAGTACTTCTACTAAGATCTGAGTACTTCTACTTTTACTAAGATCTGAGTACTTCTACTTTTACACAAATACAAGATCTGAGTACTTCTACTTTTACTCAAGTACTAGATCTGAGTACTAATACTTTTACTAAGATCTGAGTACTTCTACTTTTACTCAAGTACACGATCTGAGTACTTCTACTTTTACTAAGATCTGAGTACTTCTACTTTTATACAAGTACACGATCTGAGTACTTCTACTTTTACTCAAGTACACGATCTGAGTACTTCTACTTTTACTAAGATCTGAGTACTTCTACTTTTACTCAAGTACTAGATCTGAGTACTTCTACTTTTACTCAAGAACAAGATCTGAGTACTTCTACTTTTACTAAGATCTGAGTACTTCTACTTTTACTCAAGTACTAGATCTGAGTACTTCTACTTTTACTAAGATCTGAGTACTTCTACATTTACTCAAGTACTAGATCTGAGTACTTCTACTTTTACTCAAGTACTAGATCTGAGTACTTCTACTTTTATACAAGTACAAGATCTGAGTACTTCTACATTTACTCAAGTACAAGATCTGCGAGACACCGCGGAACTCAGCCTGGGCACACACACAAACTCACACGGGTGTGTGTGTTTTCCGGGCCGACCCCACACCAGTGAGCCAGCTCACAGTGTCCCGCTCCTCGCAGCAGCGAGTGCACTTCCCGGATGCACTGTATCTTCGCTGTAGCTATGTACAAATCACAATAAAACCTTGAATCTGTTGATCCCTCTTGTTCCTCCTTACCTGACTTGAGCCTCAGGTATGATGTCGTCCACCACCACGTACACCATCGCTCCGGCAGCAAACGCCAACGCGTACGGCAGCAGAGGTTCAGCCAGGACGACAGCGAGGGCGCCCAGGACCCCAGCGATGGGCTCTACCATGCCGCTGAGCTGGCCATACCTGACGGGAAACAGTGATAATCAGTAAGAGAGTCGACATTTAAAGTATCTGTACCTAAGGGGCCCTAACCCCAACCCTAGTTGCAGAAAGTCAGATTGTATAGACGACTATGAGAAAATGACCCTACTTCTCACTCTATGAATGACCTCAGTTAATGGTCTCATTCCCAGTCCTATATGGGGATATTTAGGGGGTCAGTAAGGGGTCTGTTATTGGGGAAGTGGTCCATGGTGGCCTTGGCTTTTCCAAAGTGAGGTGATATTATTGTATTTCCTTACACAGTGTTTAGAAACAGACTCATGTTTTTCCTTACCAGAAGGATTTCCATGTTGACATCCCTGAACCCCGGAGCGGCAGGCTCACCGCTAAGCCTTCTGGGAAATTCTGGATGCCAATACCGATGGCCAAATTTCTGATGACACAAAAAACAAACAAAAAACATTCAGAGGGAAAGACTCACATGAAACTACAAGCTACAAGACAGTATTTCATATGTTGTTGTCTTTTTGCAAAACACATTTTCTATTACACTCCGGTATATCAAGACCATCTTCTGCTGGTGGCGCTACCAACCAATGATGATCCATCCAATAGTTGTTCAGGCCCCAGATCTTAATGCTGATTCTAGAAGGACATATGAGCAATCATGCTGATCAATTAACTTCTTTTTGGAAATGTTGAATCTGTAGGAGTTTTGGATCATGATAATGTTTTGTGTTTTAATTCTGAAAGACAGACACAAAGAGGACTTTGTGCTCGCAGTTTGTTTAAACGGTAAACATACAGAGGCTTTGGACATCTCTTAAGTCTTCAATATGTCAACAAGACTCAATGGTGCAATGTGAACTTTTAATCACTCTGGTAAACATTAACAGTTTCTTCTTTTAAATCTGACAGAGATACCTGAACCCTCTCGACAGAGGAACCCATTACCACTGGATCGTTGTTGATTGATTATTTGTACAGTTCTCTTCTCATAAGGTAAGTTAATGCTTCCTCCAGATAGACTGCTTCAAAACAACAATGTACACATTCTTTCCTATTTAGTTTTTTGTATTCACTGAGTTTTTATAGAACTTTGTATACCTTGATCTGGGTCAATATTCGATTCTGATTGCCTGCAAGTTGTCCAACTACCAAATCTGATCAACATCGCTTTTCCTTTATATATGGACAGAAGAAAGCTCTTTACTTCACAATCAGTTAGTTAACACAGACGTCATGAAACTTTCCTCTGCTCTTTTTGCTCCCCGCCAAACAGAGAATGGGTAATTATGAGTCAATGCCTCCTGATCAGCGACTTGTGCAACTTGACAAGTTATCCGATGCACTGTTTGCTTCAAGATACTGGCCGGATATTGGAATCGACAGGTAAGCATTGTTCAAAGAAAATACATGTAATTGTTTTAACTTTTGAAGATACTATATATTTTATGTAAACCATTAAATGATTTTGATCTTGTCACATGACTTCCAGAAAGATAACTCTTATCGTTTTTTACAAAATTAAACAAAGTTCAAGCATACATTAGGCTCTCATTACCAAAACTGCTTGTTCCCACCGCAGGAACATTGCTCTCCTCCGAACCTACCAGTCCTGTAGACTCTTGGTCTCATTAAATCACATTCAAGCTTTCAGAAAATTAACAAAATTCACAAGATCTGATAATTTAAGACATATTAATGTACGTTTTGAACAGCAGCTGTGGTCAGAAGTGTGGAGTCTTTTTAATCTTTTGCAAAGGTGGCAAACAACATGAAGAGCAATGTCTCCACAGCTGAGTGGAACTACTCAAACTGAAGAGAGAACTTTTATACAGTTACAATGAATACATGCTTATTCATGAGATAACTGACCCATGATGACCCTATTAAAGTACATTAGACCCATGATCAGATCACTGTGTGGTCACATGACACTTGGTGACTGAACACCTTCCTGAATGCTGAGATCTACTGTCTGTTGATATGTAAGGCTTAGAGAATATTATTATTTATATGTTAAATATAACATTATAGCATTCAATTCTCTGATAATCATCATTTCCATTACAGAAGACTAATGAGTATTTCTCTGCACTCAGCTCCCTGCTAAGTTACTCTGGACTCAACTCAACCGATGTGCTGGACAGTTACCGTGAACAAGTCTTCGATGTTCCAAGTGCTATCGAGAAGCTGGGTGGTGCACTCGCTGGGTTCAAAGCGGTGACCAACGCTGTGGGACTCGGTGCTCTCGTCATTTCCATGATCTTAGAGATGGTCGGGAAAAGCTTGGGGAAAAAACCATGGGCACGGCTGAAATGTTGCAGAGGGTGTTTGCAGACGAGAAGGCCAAAGAGGTGAGACCCTGATGGTTCCTCAGTTTATTAACAGGTTGTAAAGGTTAGCTGTCGTGACTTCCTTCCTTTGTTTCCATTAAGCCTCTAAAAACAAGCATTTTAACGCGTTATCTTTTCATTTATATATTTTACTCACAGCTGTGACGACTTGTTTGTGTTGTGTTGATGTTGATGGTTATTCAGAACATAACTATTTTATTCATATTATTTTCACACATTCAACAAAGAAAATAGGTTTTCATATAGTCGATCAAATCAAACCAAAAGAGGCTAAACTCAAATCAAATGATAAACACATTTATATTGTTTTCTGTGCATATCTGTGTCTCCTCAAGGCTTGGGAATTGTAGTCTTTCATAGTTTCTTGACTACAGTTCAGTACTCGGCCCCCTCCTCTTCATCATCTACATCCTCCCCCTTGGTCAGATTCTCCACCACTACAACCTGGACTTTCACTGTTACGCCGACGACACCCAGATTTACCTCTGCACCGAAATCCCCCCACAACCCCCCCCTCACCCACATCGACTCCTGTCTGACTGCTATAAAATCCTGGATGCAACACAATTTCCTCAAACTCAACAGCAATACAACTGAACTCCTCCTCATCGGCTCCAAATCCACCCTCAGCAAAACCCCCAACCTGGCACCCCTGTTTCCCCCTCCACTCAGGCACGCAACCTCTGCGTAATATTTGTCCCCACCTTCTCCCTAGAGCAGGGGTATTCAACTAAAATCCAACGAGGTCCAGTTAGAGAAAATCTCCCCATGCAAAGGTCCGGAACATCAACATGTCTAAGTTGTTTTATGAATTAGTGTGATATATATTGAAGTAGCCTGTAGCTTTATCAACGTCTGCCATATATTTAGTTTTAGTTTTGATCCTGGTGGACTGATCATATTGGGCTCTGAGACTGCTTATTTTTGTGACCTCAGTTCCGACTTGAGAGGGAATGTTTGGTCAAACACTTTGTGTTTTGTCTCATAGTGGCGTGTTGTCTCTTTTAATGAGCGCCACGGTGTCTGAACAAATGAGACACACTGGTTCTGTGCTCTCAGTGGGCAGGATGAACATGAATGAGTCCACTCAGGGTTCAAAGCTCTGTTCTCACTGTCCACGTTCCTCTTCTTGGAGAGCGCCATGTGTAACTAGAGAATGCAATTCCTGAAGAAATTGCTAGTGGGAATGCTTTATGCTGAAAAGCTGACGCTAAACTGCTACGCTGAAATGTAATGTGTAAGAAGAAAGTGAAGAATTTAGATTGAAATGAAACATGAACACAGGGGGCTTGAATGTGTGATGAGAAAAGAAAGTAAAAAGGCTTGGAAAAGCAGCAGAATATTTGAACTGCAAACTTCTGAACTAACTTGATGGCGAATGATCTGTCCCCATGGCAACGGCATTTGATGACACCCCATAATACGCTTAGATGCGTTGATGGCTGCATTGTTACCAAACCTGTGAAGTTTTGGGGCGTTTGGAGCAGTTTCAATGAAGTTATGAGAAAACCGTGTTTCATGGTGAGCATTGTGTTGCCATGGCAAAGGCATTTGAAGAAATTTCAAAACTGTCCCATAGATGTCTTCACGGCTGGACTGTTAGCACAAATGTGGAGTTTGAGCACTTTTTGAATATTTTCATAGGAGTTATAGCGACATCATGTTTTATGGCGAGGGATGCGTTTCTATGGAAACGGCATATGATGAGATCTCAGATTTGGCGTAGAGCTGTTGAGGCATGGACCGGTGATATACAAGTGAAGATTGGGGGACGATTGGACCGTGTCCATTGGACTTACAGCCTCATCGTGTTTCATGGCGAGTGGTCTGTCGCCATGGCAACGGCATTTCATGACACCCCATACTACGCTTAGATGCATTGATGGCTGCATCGTTATCAAACCTGTGAAGTTCTGGGCTGTTTGGAGTATTTTCACTGAAGCTATGAGAAAACCGTGTTTCAAGGCGAGCATTGTGTTGCCATGACAACGGCATTTGAAGAAATCTCAAGACTGTCCCGTAGATGTCTTCACGGCTGGACTGTTAGCACACTGCTACCTGGAGGCTGCTGACAGCTGGAGTGATGACATCATCGTGTTCCATTACACAGGTGTTTATAGTTGAGCTAACGAGGTGCCTAGACTTCAAAGGCTTCATTGCTCTGAATGAGAGATGAACCTCTTACATGTGAACGTTTTGTGGAAGAACCGTAACAGATATCTGTGAAATTTCAAAACGTGAAGCATGTCAAGGAAGTTGAGTATCTGAAGTGTAATTTTTGTGTAGTTTTGGGTTAATAATGTGGCCTTTTTGGCAGTTTAACTAAAGGTGTGCGGCTGCTACCGTGAGGAAATATCTGCCTGAAATTACAATGGGGTTTAATGGAGGAATGTTGAACGTTTTTGTCACTTCATGCCCTCAAAAAGCATTTTGTTTAATTATTTTTGCTTAATTATTTGTCATTTTTCAAGCTACGAGATGTTTTCCTACGTTTATCATGAAAAATTATGTCCCAGGAATGTAGGGTTTGGGAATTATGGCAGTTTAAAAAAAATATATGAAGGCACATTTCAAGATTTCTTACCCTCTAGCTGTGACATCACGCACTCTAGTTAATGTTCAAATGTGAAGAAAACCTCTAAAACAAGGTCTGAACAAATGTTAATATCTCTAAAAGTAAGAATCAGAATAAAAAGTTGCTCAACACGAATAATGTCAGAAAGATTTGTAACATTTTAAAGTTGGAATGAGGTTTCTGAGTGAAAGTATGAATGAACAGTTAGCAGTTGAAGTCGCATGAAGATTTGTTGAAGTCTGAAGATTTCCTCCATTGACTTCAATGTTAAAAATGTGATGTATTATGGGATGTATCTCTGGAATTATGAAAGGTATGAATGAGAAAAGTAATAGCCATCAATTCCCAACCGAGCTGAACATTTTGATGTTCGAACGGAGTTTCTGCGATGTTCAATGCGGGAGAAGAAGAGGGCCAAAATAACCCGGCGGAATAATAATAATTTGTAAACAGCATTCACACTAAATTATTTGTCTCTCCTGTCTGCCGCTAACACGCCTGTTCACTCTCCTCTCCGCTTCTCTCCCTGTATCGCTAATTATTCTCTTCACTCACTTTCCTCTCCGCTTCTCTCTGCCGCGCTCTCGTCTCTTCTTCTGTGTTTCTCTCCCTGTATCGCTCACTCGTCTCTTTCACCCCCTGTCGGCGGCGGTTAAAATAGAATCACCCCGTCAAAATTGAAATCCCCTATTAATGTATCGATTAAAGGTCCGGGTCCATATAGGTCGGCGTCTGGGTCCGGATCCGGACCGCGGTCCGCCTGTTGCCGACCCCTGCTCTAGAGCCTCACATCCGCCAAGTTGTTAAAACCTCATTTTTCCACCTCCGCAACATTGCTAAACTCCGTCCCTTTCTCACCCGCCCTGCATCTGAGCGACTCATTCACGCCTTCATCTCCTCCCGTCTTGATTACTGTAACTCACTCCTCTACGGCATCAGCTCCACCTCCCTCAATAGACTCCAGCGTGTCCAGAACACAGCTGCCAGATTCCTCACCCACACCAAGTCATGGCATCACATCACCCCGGTCCTCAAAGAACTCCACTGGCTTCCCGTTTCACACCGCATCCACTACAAACTCCTTGTCCTCACTTACAAAGCCCTCCACCATCTGCCCCCCACCTACCTCACTGACCTCCTCATCCTCTACCAACAACTCAGACCCACCTCAGCCGGTTTGCTTTCCACCCCCAAGGCCAAACTCCGGAGCTTTGGGGACAGAGCCTTCTCTGTGGCAGCCCCGAAGCTCTGGAACTCCCTCCTCCAAGACCTCCGTGACTCTGAGTCCCTCACCTTGTTCCAGTCCCGCCTCAAGACCCATCTCTTCTCATCAGTACACTCATAGCCCCCCCCCATCAATCTCTCTCTGTCGTTCGTCTGTCCCTCTCCCATACCCAGGGGCATTTCCTGGACCTGAAAACATTCGGGGCTTAGCCCACAGTGGTGGCGGCCGCGGCGCTACTGTGGAATGTTCTACTGCAACACTCCCCACAAGCAAACACACAGTACACCCGCGACTGTTAATGAATGCTCGATAATCAGCTCACGGCATATAGGCAGGGGTAAAGTGCTATTTTTTACGAGTGGGGGGCGGACCTCACCTCCTCTAGGGGGGTCCGGGGGGATGCTCCCAGGCCAGGCAACGCCACTACCCATACCCCCCACCACTCCAAACTGTAAAGCGACTTTGAGACTTGAAAAGCGCTATATAAATTCAAATTATTATTATTATTACAGAGGTCGCCACTAGGTGACAATATTTGACCTTTTCACAAAACAAAAAAACTGTCTCTAACATTAAGTCATATTTATAAAATTAATGATTTTATTTCAGAACAAATGTTTAACCTTTTAAAGTTAACCCTTCAAAATCGATATATAAAACGTTTATCTGACCAATATTTGAAATAGGCTTTCATAAATGTTGACATTCTTTTACTGTGGAGGTCCGAGACTTGATGGACGAGTATTTAAAGCGTCTGCAGATCAACTTGGGGAAGCCACAGCTCCAACTAGCTGAGACCCGGGCAAATAGAGCTCGTTCTCAGTGTGCAGCTAACGCGGCTAAAGGTACAACCGAGTAAAAGTCTTCCAGCTGTATTTGAAGGATCATGCTACATTGATATCTCCTGTAATGTTCTTCTCAATCAACCGAGGTCCCTTGAGGAAAAACATTTAACTTAAAACCGTAACTATTCTGCTAACTCAAATGTAAATTGTATTCAATGTTTACATTTTGGGATAGGCTAGACAAGCATAATGTACACTGCCTTCTATTCTGTATATTTATATTGTGTATTCAATGTATATACTCTATAGATATATATATATATATATCCTCATTATTGATATGTTTATATTCACTGTTTTGCCTATTTAGTTTCCCAAATTGGGATCATTAGAGTATATATTATCTTAATCATATTTTATATTGTTGCATCGATTCAGTTGTCTTGTCTCATCTGTCATCTGTTTATTTAATTTAATTTGTATTATCATACATTCTACCTCCTCGTGTCTATTAACCTGTAAAGTTCTTAACAAATAATCTGAGGGGAATTTTCTGCATGTGTTGTATGAAAAGTGCTATATAAATAAAGCTTTATTATTATTAATAATCAGTAAGTAATCCTACATTATTGTGATCCTTTTTCTTTCCCAGAACTCCATGCTGGTCGATGGACATATGAACTCTATGCTTCTGAAGCAGTGGGTGAACGGCGCTGCGTTTCACACCCAGATGTTGATCCATCAGGCTCGTCTGGAGGAGGCCGACGGGTCGAGAGCGGTACGAGCAGCGGGCGTTTATCAGCAACAGCTCAACGTTATTATAGACAGATACAAGAAGTACCTGATTGGTATTACAAGTATACAATACGATCACGATAGCACTAGTGTATATTGTTGTCTGTATAAAGAGATCTATTTTCAAGTTAAATGTTTCAAAAAGGAATATTCAGACTGTGTCACCGAAACTGAACTGGTTGAGCATTTGTTTTCGAAACAGCAGATTTCTTGGACAAATAGTTATTTCTCAGACTTAGCAGCAGATATTCCGACTCTGGTGAGACAACATGCCACCTTTCAAATCCAAAACCAACATTGAAGCTCTTTGTTTGTGAAGCCATGAGACCAACATCAAACCAAACTTTACTCTTAAACTCAAAAAGGCAAATATTTTAAACTGGACACACAACGGATGTCCAGACTAAGAGAGAACAACTATTGCTATGACATTTGGTTTATCCATCCATGGTGACCATAGGATGAATCCTGATGACATTATCAAGTCCACATTTATAATTTCCCCAATAATTTGGTTAATGTTAAAAAAACTGTAAAACTAAACATTCCCATAATCCTCAGCTGTGCTTTGTGTTTCTGTAAATGAAAGCAATCTGACGCAATTTAGAAAAACGGTACACAGTGACCGTTAACCCTGTTAGCATATGTTAGCTTAGTCATTGTTAGAAAGTTAGCATGTTGAATTTAGCATTTAGCCGAGGGCACAATACTCAGGCCCTGCAATAAAGAACTCTTACTGTATGCCTTATGAATGCACAATAACAAGGAGAGAGACATGCTATGCAGAGAGTTGGTCAATGTCTGTGTATGTGTTTCGTGTATCTGCATTTGCATGTGAGGTTGGTAAGGGTTAGATGCAGTGAATTAAATGTGTGTATTTTACAACCAATGTCTTATTATTGAATTTTTTTAACATACTATATAATTGTTTACAAGGATACAAAGTTCTTCATACATCAAACGTCCTAATTCTGCTCTCAAAGTGCACCAGATTGATGCATTTGACTTTAAATTGGACACAATTTTCCTCTGAGGTAGCAACACCCAGCATGGTCTCACAAATAATATGGGAATCACTGACATCTTCTTTACAAAGCTTCCTGCAGCTCTATAGTGTAACCAGTAGATGTCAGCAGCACACAGCAGAGACAGCTGTAAAGTCTGACCGTTTTATTACAATGACCTCAAAGGCAAGTCTAAACACACCAATGACACACATCTCGTCTTTTACTAACTGTTCCACATATGAGAAACCAATCACAGCACTTCTTATGTCCAGATGCTGAACGTGCTGCTCTTCCATGTTCACTGCATGTGTTTCTTTGCATGTCACCAATCTTACCTGGCACTTTCAAAAGAAGCAGATGAGGTCTTTCCAATAGCTCCAAATGCAACGCCCACAGCCAAACCCTCTGCAGAAGAAAGTCAGACAATGAATCCCTGTTAGTGCCACATATATCCTTGGAAAAGAAAAAAAACATTTAAACACAGAGAAAGGGAAAATACTTGCAACGTGAGGACAACAAGTGGAACCAGAATCAATAAACAGTGTAAAGAATAAAAAACCTATGGGTCTGGAAAGTCATTTCTTCATATATTTTATATTGTACATGAATGTTTTTAGGCCTTTCTTCTATTGTCATGTTTCCACTGATGAAACCAGCATCTGGGATTATATCTCCTGAACCATATCTCCAGAGTCAGTCCTTAGAATTAAACATATTTCCTCAACTACTGATCCATACCTGACATTTTTACTGTAATTCCCGACTGCAAAAGCACAACAGGCTGCAAGAAGAAGACTTTCTGCAATTATGACCACCATAGAGCCTGTCTGTGTTTCCTTGTTGCATGCTCTGTACACCCCGGGCAGATGCCTGTCATGCATACTCAAAGTACACACTGTTTGAATGGAAATTGAAAAGGTCACCATGTACCTATGAGTGTATCCGTGTGGCAGTCAGAACTACAGGCTATTTTTCATTTTATATTACAAAGCAGAGCACAGAAATTACCTCTACCATAAACGCTGACAGGTTGTCAAGTCTTGTCATGCCGTTGACAGCTAGGTTATTATAATGCTAAACCTAGATAATTTCCTAATATAAGAGAACACTGTGTGGATAAAGAGAGTTATGGTTTATCCACTTGACTCCGCTGAGTACTCTATTAACATTTTCTACCTTTCTCATTTAAAAAACAAAATGTCTTTGCTTGTTTAATGAACAGTAAGATGCATGGTGCAACTAAAGCTAATAGCTACGTTCACATATACTGCTATACAGCTGCTAATGTCATTTAATCACATATGGGTTATAGTTTCAAAGAAAGGGAATTGTTAGCGATATTTCATTATACATAGAAAAATACCATTAACTTTCAGTGGCTACCAGAAAATACAACTCAAGATGTTGCTCCAAACAGATTGCTTTAGCTAGCTAAGATCTTACACTAGCTAAATACACAGGCTAATTTAGGTAATTTAGATACCATTTAAAACAAGTCTTAAGGAGTGTTCACATAGAACATTAAGGGAAACACCATTAGTTGTCTTCTTGCATAATTTGGATAAGAAGTTTGGTACCACTCTCATGTCAGCATGTCAAATCTTAAGCTAACGCCAGCAGTCGGTTAGCTTAGCTCAACAGAAAAACTGCCGAGTCACAGTGAAGAATTACTGCTCACACAGAAATAACCCCCCAGTAAAAGCACAATATATGTTTTTTTTTGACTATAAATCAAAGTACAAGATATTCCAACTTAAATATGGAGGTGGTAAAAGGGGGTTTGTTAATTAGCTGGTTTTTTTGTTTTCTGTCTTTGTGCTAAGCTAACCAGTTGCTATAGCTTCCCATTTTTCCTACATAATGTATTGTTGCAGCCTACCTTTAAGGGCTGTAACTATGTTGGCCAAAGCACTTTTAAGACCTCACAGAGCTTATTATGAAGCTGCTTACTTTTAGTTGTACTAAAACTATTCTTCTTTCTCTTTGAAAATAGAGTTATGAGCAAAACAACGAAAGATGTTTGTCTTTTAAAGGCTTTGAAGTCAAATATATTGCGCTAATCATCTTTTCTCTTTTATGCAAAAATAGCTTTATTCCTGTGTAATATTCCACTGTTATGTCTCTTTCTCTCTGTTCCTGCAATATGTATAGCCTACACCAAGCTATACTGCCTTAAACCAAGAACAAGTGGCATAGATAAAGATAAGGTTAAGAGAGAATTAAGAAGCAGCAAAAACAGAGATGAAAGAGAGAGTAGAGAGACCTAAAAAGGCAAGGGACTATTATGCTGGCCCTTCAGCTGCAGAGCCCACTTTATCATAATCTATCGCCTGTCATTACCTCCGATAACACACCTGTTATGATCCACCTTCTTACCGGTCAGACACATTTTAGAGATATTATGGAGACATTAATGGCGACAATCACCCGACAGTTATGCCGTGTATCCCCCTTAACTATTAATCTCAACCCCCCTTGAATCGTCTGGAAGGTGAAAAGTGTCTGTGCTCAAAAAGCCTCAACTGGTTTTGAATAAAACATGAGCTAAGAGGGTGTCAAGATTTTGCAATTTGGCACAGTGTGTACAATGCTTGGGGCCGTCATGAAGTTTATAAGAAATCTCAACAAAGATGTTCCTCTAGGTCCGACAGATAGCATCGTTAATCTGTTGGACATGTGGGAAAGTTGAACAGTATACAAATAGTTGCATCATCTGCTCTTTTGGATCAAGAATAAAGGCTTTCTGACACCAGTTGGTCACCTGTGGAACGGCTACACAGCTGGAAATGTGAGCTGTGGTTTGGGGGTGTTTTGCAAGCCTCCTGAGCTGGACATTTTTGTTCCAAAGCCGTCCAGGGCTAGTAGGGGAGCACTAAACACCCCCACATCTGTCAGTTTGACTCATGAAACTCGTGTTCGAAGGTTTTGCGGGCATCTAATGGCAGTTAAAGTATTATCTCATGGATTGTTACAATACTGAACACAACTAAACCTGTTCTTCTTTGGGTTCACTTGCAGTGCTGCGACACCATTGTTGCAAAAGCAGTGTCTTGGTTCAACAACTCAAAATGTACATTTGGTGTACGACCAGTGTCTAAAAACACCAGAAACATTTATTTGCGTTTATTCTCTGTCCATTTTGAGGAAATGGTTGGAGGAGTTCCATGCACAATGCTTAATTCTTCCATCAGGGTACATCATATTCATTTTGCATACAGTTATACCATTTATGGTTTGTCTTACAATCAAGTTTTAAGGGAAATCTCTATTGCCATTAACTTCTGTATGGATATTCAGATCGTAAATCCTCCAGACTTTGGTGATTATGTGACTTTTCCATTACTGCTAATATGAGGATGACATTTTTAGTTATGGATGGATTGCCAAAACATTTAAGCAGATATCAATAGACCCTAAATATTGAATCCTAATTGCTTTGGTGAGATTGATTAATTTGGCTGATGTTCAGGTGTATATCAGTATGTAGTGTCTCTACTTTAAAGAGTCCTCTCCTGCTGATGTTCAGGTGTATATCAGTAGTGTAGTGTCTCTACTTTAAAGAGTCCTCTCCTGCTGATGTTCAGGTGTATATCAGTATGTAGTTCTCTACTTTAAAAGAGTCCTCTCCTGCTGATGTTCAGGTGTATATCAGTATGTAGTGTCTCTACTTTAAAGAGTCCTCTCCTGCTGATGTTCAGGTGTATTCAGTATGTAGTGTCTCTACTTTAAAGAGTCCTCTCCTGCTGATGTTCAGGTGTATATCAGTATGTAGTGTCTCTACTTTAAAGAGTCCTCTCCTGCTGATGTTCAGGTGTATATCAGTATGTAGTGTCTCTACTTTAAAGAGTCCCTCTCCGGCTGATGTTCAGGTGTATATCAGTATGTAGTGTCTCTACTTTAAAGAGTCCTCTCCTGCTGATGTTCAGGTGTATATCAGTAATGTAGTGGTCTCTACTTAAAAGAGTCCTCTCCGGCTGATGTTCAGGTGTATATCAGTATGTAGTGTCTCTACTTTAAAGAGTCCTCTCCATGCTGATGTTCAGGTGTATATCAGTATGTAGGTCCTTCTACTTTAAAGTGTCCTGTCCTGCTGATGTTCAGGTGTATATCAGTATGTAAGTGTCTCTACTTTAAAGAGTCCTCTTCCTGCTGATGTTCAGGTGTATATCAGTATGTAGTGTCTCTACTTTAAAGAGTCCTCTCCTGCTGATGTTCAGGTGTATATCATGTATGTAGTGTCTCTTACTTTAAAGAGTCCTCCTCCGGCTGATGTTCAGGTGTATATCAGTATGTAGTGTCTCTACTTTAAAGAGTCCTCTCCTGCTGATGTTCAGGTGTATATCAGTATGTAGTGTCTCTACTTTAAAGAGTCCTCTCCGGCTGATGTTCAGGTGTATATCAGTAGTAGTGTCTCTACTTTAAAGAGTCCTCTCCTGCTGATGTTCAGGTGTATATCAGTATGTAGTGTCTCTACTTTAAAGAGTCCTCCTGTGTATGTTCAGGTGTATATCAGTATGTAGTGTCTCATACTTTAAAGAGTCCTCTCCTAGCTGATGTATCAGGTGTATATCAGTATGTAGTGTCTTCTACATTTAAAGAGTCCTCTCCTGCTGATGTTCAGTGTTATATCAGTATTGTAGTGCATCTACTTTAAAGAGTCCTCTCCTGCTGATGTTCAGGTTGTATATCAGTATGTAGTGTCTCTACTTTAAAGAGTCCTCTCCTGCATGCTGTTTCAGTGTATTCAGTATGTAGTGTCTCTACTTAAAGTCCTCTCCTGCTGATGTTCAGGTGTATATCAGTATGTAGTGTCTCTACTTTAAAGAGTCCTCTCCTGCTGATTGTTCAGGTGTATATCAGTATGTAGTGTCTCTACTTTAAAGAGTCCTCTCCTGCTGATGTTCAGGGTGTATATCAGTATGTAGTGTCTCTACTTTAAAGAGTCCTCTCCTGCTGATGTTCCAGGTGTATATCAGTATGTAGTGTCCTCTGACTTTAAAGAGTCCTCTCCTGCTGATGTTCAGGTGTATATCAGTATGTAGTGTCTCTACTTTAAAGAGTCCTCTCCTGCTGAGTTCAGGTGTATATCAGTATGTAGTGTCCTCTACTTTAAAGATGTCCTCTCCTGCTGATTTTCAGGTGTATATCAGTATGTAGTGTCTCTACTTTAAGAGTCCTCTCCTGCTGATGTTCAGGTTGTATATCATTATGTAGTGTCTCTACTTTAAGAGTCCTCTCCTGCTGATGTTCAGGGTATATCAGTATGTAGTGTCTCTACTTTAAAGAGCCCTCTCCTGCTGATGGTTCAGGGTGTAATATCAGTATGTAGTGTCTCTACTTTAAAGAGTCCTCTCTGCTGATGTTCAGGTGTATATCAGTATGTAGTGTCTCTACTTAAAGAGTCC